AATACCGATTGACTAATAACAATGATGCACGTGAAAGCTTTTGTGTTTATTTTGCGAAATAGGTTATTTAGTATCCGTGGTCGTCGAATTCAAACTCGCTGTCTTACTTAAGAATTATGTTCATTTAATGCTGAAAATCGCTGTGATCGGCTACTACATCATTGCCTTTTTTTGCGTTTGAGAAAATTGAGATCAATAGGTAGAGGCGTACAGTGTGTTTCCAATTAGCTTAGTTATACGTTTTTTTAAGATTAAGAAATAAAATAATAATAAATAAATACTGACAACCCTCGGCTGAAAATTCCCATGTGGGAAATTCACCCCTGATGTGTCATCACACTTGGAACAAAGCCTCAATTCGCATGTGCGAGACGATTTACACTAGTCACACACAGGAAATCCATCCTAAAATTTCTGACGCGTGCCAATCGTATCGCATCTGAATTTGAGACTATGGGTAAGACTCTAATAGGGCCTATAATAGAACGTGCTTTAAATCTCCGAGAAAAAACGCGTTTTGGCAAATAGGCGGCTCGTAAACAAAAATGCTGTCGCTACGATGGCTTGCAGCAACTCGGCGCCTCGAATCAAGTAAGTGAAATTTGAATTTCAGTAATGATCATTAGTCATGAAATTATTTCCAGCACATAAAAATTATAAAGAAAATATCGCAATGCTGAAGACTAGATCTACAATACATTGCGCATTTCTGAAACCACGCATCAATTTGATATTAATTTTATTAGCACAAATAAAAATACATAAGTGATATTATTATCAATCTAACGAGCAAGCTACAATTATCAAAATAGTTAGGATTATTGTAGAACCCATTAGAACTTTAAGTCGTAGTCTGGGAAGCGAAACGCTTTTCATAAAGTGCGTAAATGTGTGTACATCAATTTTTCTAAGTTGAATTAAGAATTATAAATAATAAAAAACTGAAAATTATAAAAGTCGTCGACACTTTTCGGTGAAAAGAAATTCCAAAAACAAATTTCCATAATTTCTTTTAAAATCAATCTCTCGTTGCCGCGGTTCCACATGGTAACTTCATCGTTTAAAAAACCGACATACGAAAGAAGATCCGTAATGAGTCAAAGGTGCCAGGTTGCTCGGAAAGAATAGTGGATGTGGCGAAGGTGCGGATTTTGAGAAGAATAAACGAAACGGGGGATGAGGCTGGGGGGCATGAGGACAGACGAACGCAGTGCGACCTAAGAGAATTGTGGACGCCGACGGGGCGGCCTATTGAGGTTTATTTAGAATTTAAAATGAGTAAAAATCTTATCACCGTCGATTTTGGCTTTGAAAAAATTTTGAAAGCAGTAAGTTGTATTTTGAAGGGCCTAGAATGAAAACGGATACCGATTTTTGCGATTACAAAGTTCGGTGTGATACTTTTTCTCGAGCTCACAGTCAAAAACTGGGAAATTCAGTTTTTCTTTTTCAGCAAGGTCGCGCTGGCAATTGTATGCTCCACAATTGTTTTTCGATCTCGAAAATGTGTTTCCCATTGTATTTTTCATCGCTGAACACGAATCTGAAATTAAATTGTTTTGACAACTTAAAAGTTCGACAAAATTTGATACGCGGAAACAGAAGTCACCCTACTGTTTTCGCGTTTCCTGGACGCGAGTTTGAAGTCAATTATCATCACAGCTGTCATGACAACTGCTAATTGTCAAACTAGCAATTTGACTTTAGATTCGGGGTCAACGACAAAAAATACAACGGAAAAAACTTTTTTTGGGAAAAACATGATGCTTTCAAAATTTTTTTAGAACCGAAATCGACAGTCATAAGATTTTTGCTCTTCCATGATCATAATAAACCACAGTGCGGCATCAGAAAATCTGCAAACGAAGCGAAGCTCAAGTAAAAATTCTGATGATGCCGAGGTTTAGGCGAAAAAAGCAGACGTGCGCTAAGCTGCTCTGAGAAAAAGGTCACATATAGCAGAAGCTCGGGGAGGAAAAGAAGACGAGCACAGCGCCGCCTTAGAAATAGGCAGGAGGAAGCTGGGATTTGATTAAGCAGGGCAGCCGAGCGCAGTGATGACTGAAAATACAACAAGCGAAGTAACGGCGCTGGGAAGATAGCAGACGAGCCCAGTGCTGTTCGGGAAAAGTCAAAGGAGCCGAGCGCTGGTCTGATGAGGGCAGACGAGCTCAGTGCTGCTCTCAAAAGGAGCGGACGAGCCTAGTGTTGCTACGATAAAGGGGTATGAGTCCAGTGCGGATCTGTAAAAAGGCAGATTAGCGAGGGCAACGTTAAAAAGTGTAGACGAACGAAGGGCTGCGTCTAGAAGGGCAGACGGGCAGAAGGCTACGTCAGAATAGGACGGTCGAGCGAAGGGCTCTGTGATGTAGGGCAGACGAGCAGAGACCTAGGTCACAATATGACGAACGAGTGGAAGGCTGCGTCCAAAAGGGCAGACGATGAGAGGGCTATGTTAAAACAAGACTGACAAGCGGAGGGCTGTGTAAAATAAGACGAACGAGGGAAGGCTGCGTCCAAAAGGGCAGACGATCAGAGGGCTATGTTAAAACAAGACTGACAAGCGGAGGGCTGCGTAAAATAAGACGAACGAGGGAGGGCTGCGTCCAAAAGGGCAGACGATCAGAGGGCTATGTTAAAACAGGACAGACGAGCGGAGGGCTGTGTAAAATGAGGAAGACGGGCGGAGGGCTGCGTCATAAAGGGCACACGAGCAGAGGGCTGCGTCGAAATTAGACGGACGGTGGGAGGGATTCGTCGAAATAAGACGGACGGTGGTAGGGATTTGTCTAAATTAGACGGACGGTGAAAGGGAGACGTCCAAATAAGACGGACGATCAGAGGGCAGCGTCATAAAAGGCAAACGAGCAGAGGGCTACGTTATAAAAGGTAGACGAGCTGGGGGCTGGGCGGAATAGGGCGGACGAGCGGAAGTCAAGGCGAAATGAGACGGACGAGCTGTGTGCTATGTCGAAATGTGACGGACGAGCTCAGGGCGGGTCGCAATAGAACGAACGAGCGGAGGGCTATGTCGGAAATGGCAAACGAACTGTGGGCTTGATGAAATAGGGCAGACGAGCGAAGGGCAGAGTAAAATGAGACGGACGGGGGGGCGTGTGAAACAAGGTGAACGCGCGAAGGGCTACATTTAAAAGGGCTTGCGAGCCGAGGGCTACGTCGAAATTAGACGGACGGCGAGGGGGAGACGTCGAAATAGGACGGACGGGCAGAAGGCTGGGTGAAATAGGGCACACGAGCGGAGGGCTGTGTAAAATAGGACTGACGAGCAGACAGCTGCATCCTCAAGGGCAGACGAGCAGAGCGCTATGTCAAAAAGAGCAGACGAGCCGAGGGCTGGGTGAAATAGGGCGGACAAGCCGAAGCTGTGCAATGCAGCGGACGCGTAGAGCGCCATGTCCAAATGGGCAGACAAGCTGAGGGCTGGGTGAAAATAGACGGACGAGCGGGGGGTTGCGTTCAGAAGAGTAGACGAGCACAGGGCTATGTCCGTGTCCGAGTCCGCAGAAAAGAGTGCAGATGCGTTGTGCTGAATGGAAGAAACGGCAGACGAAGCGGTTGCATAGATTGTAGCCAGTAGAACATGGGGAGGCCTAGCAAAAGATTCAAGCAGTGCGGACTCGAAAAAATTGGCGAAGGAGCCCAGTGCTGCTTTAATAAGAGCTTAGTCGGAGTGAGGGTGCGGAAAAACGCTTAGGCAAACGCAGTGCTGACTGGGAATAACGGCACATAAAAGCGAGGGCGCTAGTTGTAGGCTAGACGAGCAGGGGGTGGCCTTGGAAAAGGGTCAGGCTAAGCGGGGCTCGAATAAGAAGGTAATCGAGCCCATTTCTTCTCTGGAAAAGGCCAATCGAGCATAGTGTTAACTTGGATTGACAGTTAACGACGAGCAATAACAGCAGGCGACTTGGGGACAAGATAAGGCTGTCATAGTAGGGTCTTAGGAATGGGTCCGACGGAGCAAGGGCGCGGAAATGATCCCAGACGACATGCTAACTAGAAATTATGTTAAACGGAGCGGGTTCTCGGAAAAAGAGGACGGATGTGTCCAATGCAGGTTTAAAATAGAGTTAGACGAAGTTGGGTTCGGAAAAGAGAGCGGACGAAGCCATTCTGACTTGGAGAAAGAGTTAGTCGAAGCGGAGTCTCAAAAAATAGGGTGGAGCGAGCATAGTTTAAGAAGATGTGAAGATAGAGCAACGACTCGGAAGAAAAAGCGGTCAACCTCAGGACGGTCTCAGAAGTGTGTCAGACATACGAGTATAGAGATTTGTGTAAAGGGCAGATGTGCTCAGTGCTGCTTGATAGAAGAGTCAGAGTCAAACATGGACTTTCGTAGAAAGGCAAAGGAGCACAGTGTGGCCTGGTTTAGCCGTAGAAGACGTGAAGATAATATTGAAAAGACAAAAGCAACGGGCGGAACAGGTAATGCAACAGACCAAAGGTAAGCTGTGGTATAAGTGTCAATGATAAAGAGTTAGACGTAGTCGATGTTATGGGAAATATGGGAAAGGAAGGACGAGAGCGGAAAAAAAGGTAGAATAACGAGAACGGTCTCACCACCTTACGCTTATTTGACCTTTCGTCAGTTGACATTCCGTCACCTCACCCACAATTATTTGTCTTGATTCCAGTTTTAGAAGTTGAACGAGTAAATTATCACTCTTCTTTTTAATTATTTATCTAATTACCTCAATTCTAGAAAAAATTTTTCATAAGTCCACTTATCCATAACTGTTTGTGATGAACTCAGTGGTGTATGAAAATTTAAATAATTGAGGCCCGTATTGAGAACAACCAAAACAGTTAACGGAGATGATTGAAAATGTTTTTATATAAATCTGTTGATTTATATAACAAATCATCTTTATTTACACAGAGTATAACGTTTTATCGAATTATTCGAATTTCGTCTACTATTAGGCTGACTAGTTTTTAGTAAAACCTTAGTAGAAAAGAAAAAATATAAAAGACATGTAATTTCATATCTCCCAATCCGGATCGTTGCCAACGTCGTCATCATCTTCATCCATACTATCATCAGCCTCACCGTCTTCGCTGCCATCATTTTCACCATCGTTGTTCATATGATCATCTTCTCCATTTTCATCATTGCCATCAATATCAACATCATCACCATTCTCGTCCTCCTCCTCAACAACATCATCATCACCATTACCACCATCATCACCATCCAAGCATTGTTCGAAATGCCCCCCTGTTACTGAATATACAAAATAGCTCTACGTCTTATCTCATGTGTAGCTGCATGTATTTTTTCGGGTTTTAGATGCTGGGCGTGATGTTGGATTTTAATATACCTGCGTAAAATTTGTTATGAAACCAATAATTTTTCTAGCCGACAGTTATACATGTAGGTGCATGTACAGACATATACATATTTGGTTTCTAGCGCTGTACTGTGAATGCACTCTCACATGCTCTCCGAAGTATACTAATGAAGCCGTGTTGGTTTTAAAACTTCTGTAGACTAAAGTAGTACGAGTAATCAAAATACTGGCAGCATACGTAGAAATTAAAAAATTTTATATTCAAAGTAGAGTTGAAATAAAAGGGAAAGAGGAGGAGAGCGGATTTTAATTGAGATTTGAGAATCTTTGAGCGATGGAAATAAAACTCGTCAAGTATGATACAAAGTAGAGAATTTTCATAAGGCTATCTGTCCTAGAACGACTTTTATATTTTTATAAAGAATAATATAAAAGTAATTAAATTTCCTTTCAAGTCAGAGCAATATTCCCTTCAGCAAATAATTGGCATAAAGCCACGACAAAATTATCCTACACGAAATTTCAGAGCGTTAAGACTTTCATTAGGAGAAATCGCATAATACAATTTTTGGTAAGGAAGGGTAAAGCAGGCAGAATAAGTGAATAAACAGTTGTAGAAAACAAATGCTTTCTTCGAGAGAAAGCCTTTGATGTCCGTGTCACGGAAGAGACTAGAACGAATTGAGCGGCAACGCCGCTAGCCGTCTAGAGAGCGAGACGTGCAGTCACGCATATGCGCAGAGCAAAATAGGCGAGACGCTTTTACATATTTCCAACACTCCCTCACGTCGAGTCTATTTTATTAATTATCTTTGGTTCTTTCTCACATTAATGTCTAAAGTCTTCCTTATATTAGTAATCCTTCTAATATTAATATTTTAAATGAATGAAAGTGAACGAAAAGAAAATAGTTACATCTAATGATCCCTTAGATTTAAATAAAGTGAATGAAATGAAAATAGTTATATCCAATGAACTCTTAGATTTAAATGTAGTAAGTCCCTTCAGAATGATACACGTAATCATCAGTCTCGTTATCGTAATAGAAACGACGACCACGTATACTAAATAACCTATTTCGTAAAATAAGCATAAAAGCTTTCACGTGCATCATTGTTATAAGTCAATCGGTATTGAACCGTTATTATTATTGATACGCGTTCAATCAATGAATACGTATATCAGTATGTAGACATGGGAGTTCCGTGTTGCACAACTGGGTTGAGCACCGCTTGCAATCAGTGGCGGCAAGCGCCGCTGGCCCCCCCTCACTGCTCTGCGCTCGCCACCAAGCACCCGTTCTTCTAAAGCTGTGTGCTGATTGGCCGATCTTTGAAGCTAATTATCGAATTACCTAATTATTTAATCGAAAAACTAAGAACACAATTCTGAATTAATTGTTCGAGTCGAATCGAATGGAATTATTAGTTACATATGTTTTTGAATCACCGTGTATGTTTTATTAATTTGGTTCAGTATTTCATTGTTTTACTTGTTTACTTATATTATTGTTCCTTATTTACACATTCACTTTTTTTTGTTATAAAATATAATGTGTTACAAATAATGTGTTAATTATTTGCATAAAAAATTGCATAAAAAGTTGTAACTGTTTAATTTACTATTGTCTACTGTATATTGTAATTAATGGAAAATTATTCGTTACTTTTTTTTTCTTTCTTTATTTAACGTCGCTCTATTTATGCTCCATCAGTGCTAATCAGGGACGGAGGCTTGCAATGTGTTTGAGAACAAAGTACATGAAACTTTTTTTAGTGGTGCTTGTATCAATCAGCAGGCCTCTATTCGTTACTTAAATCTGATACCATTGTTACCTTCTTATCATCTATGGAAACGTGGGTGCCTGATGAACCACATCACAATTATTCAAAAAAGAAATAAGTGCAGCAAACTCCATGAAAATTAACTCGAAAAAGTCATCAAAAAAGTCCATGGGAAAATCCTTGAAAAACTCCCCAGGCAATTCGTCAGAACAATCCCCAAAAAAGTTCTGAAAAGTCCTCAAAAAAGTCGCCAAAAGTCCTCAAAAAATTCCTCAATAAAGTCTTTAAAAAAGTACTCAATAGAGTCCTCGGAAAAGTCCTTAAAACAGTCCTCAAAAAAGTCCTCGAAACAAAATTCTCAATAAAGTCCTTAAAAAAAGTCCTCAATACAGTCATGGAAAAAGTCCTCAAAAAATTTCTCCAAAAAGTCCTCAATAAAGTTTTCAGAAAAGTCTTCAAAAAAGTCCTTTTTTTTTATTATTCGACTTTAAAAGAAAAAGAACAACTCATTCAGGTGGATTAGATTTTCGGCAGGGACTGAGAAAAATAATTTATATTTCCACCGAACGAATAAAGAGATTGACTCAAAAATGTTTTTAAAACTCCAACCGATTATAGTTTGTTAAACAGTCATTAATTAATCAACAATTATATCAATGATGTTATAAAAGCTGAACAATTTTCAATTAAGCGATCTAAGATTTACATCATGCTTGAAAGAATAATTTTTTACTGTTTGGTCAGTATAGTGAAGTTCAGAATTTCTAGACGACTGAAAGACCTTTCGGAGTTTCTCTTGATGACTAAGAATACCTCTGGAGCCCTTTCGATAACTGAAAAAACCTTCGGAGTATCACTCGACAACTGGGGATACCTCCGGAGTATTTTTCGAATTTTCAGACGGTTGTTAAGACCTTCGGAGCCTTCCTCGACAACGAAAAGATTTCCGGAGTATCTCTCTAGGACACAAAAGGCCTCCGGACTATTTCTCAAGGTCTGAAAAAATCTTTGGGTTATTTTTGAAATTTCCTGACGGCTGTTAATACGTACGGAGCCTTTCTCGATAGCGAAAAGTATTCTTCGAAGACTGATAATACCTGCGAAATATCTCTCGACGACTAAGAATACCTCCGCAGTATTTTTCGAGGGCTGAAAAGCCCTCTGGAACTATTTCTCGAATTTTTAGACGATTGAGTATACCTCTAGGGCCCGTATCGACAACTAGGGATACCTCTGGAGTATTTTTCGAACCTCCCCAGAGGTTTAAAGACCTATGAAGCCTTTCTCGACAACGAAAGATCTAGCAATAATGAAAATATATATTTAAAACGTTGAGCAATAAGTTTTATTTATGATCATCGAAAATGTCTTTGAGGTAATGCTTCTAGCATTTAAAAAAAGCGACTTTCAAAATATTGCAACTTCCATCTTTCAATATAATTCCGAGTACTTATCGATCACCATTTAATTATGTTTTGCAACCAAAAATAGTAATGAAGAAGTTCAACTTGCTATAGTCTGGTTATGCAGGAGGACGTCTTCGATGAATGTGACGAGGTATTTTCAGTCGTCGAAAGGTTCAAGAAATACTGCAGCGGTTTCTTCAGTCGTCGAGAAGTACTCTCGAGGTCTTTTCTGTCGTCGAGACAGGCTCCAGAGGTATTCTCAGTCGTCGAGAAATACTCTAGGGTCTAAAAGAACAATTGCATTAGTTGTTCTTTCTCTTTTAAAGTCGAATTTATATTGAAGATGAAAAGTGTGAGGAGGATGGAGAAAAAGAGATTAAGTAATTTCTTTTCCTCCAATTAGACAATTTGTTTGAGGCGTGAGGACCTGAGGAAGGGGCTTCTTGCCCTTGTCTATAAAAGTCGAGTTTTTTCATAATGCAGGCAGATCAGTTTTTTTGGGCGTTGAAGGGCCGAGGACGGGGCTTTAAGTCCTTGCTTATAAAAGAGATCAATTACGTTTTCGGATTAATAAGCAGTACAATTCAATTCAATTTGATTAGTAGTGCAGTTGCAGTTGCAGTTTAGTTCGGTTAGTGAGTCAGTTGTACTTTTCATCAAGGGTCTTAGAGCAAGAGCAGCCTAGGCCATATTTCAAACCATTTATAAGTAAGTCAAAGATTAAATATAAATTAAAATTAAATTACTTTTACTTTTCTCTTCTTCACTTTTCTATTAGCTAAAACGCGAGTTATGATCTTTTCAGTCAACCTTTATAGTCACGAAAAGCCTTATAGAAAACCATTCCAATTATATCCTTGTTGGGTCCTTTCTTATTTTCATTCAATTTTGATGATTTCTACAATAAGCGAGATAAACATAAATGTAAAAATATTTAATTATTGAACCAGTAATTGTTTAGGGCAATGACTTGGAGTAAATTTTATACGCAGTAAACAGGCTAACACAGCGAATCGAATAGTCATTTGAGTCATAAGTTGTAAATATTTTTAATAAATTCATAATAAAATACTTTATTTTTGCAATAATAGAAAATTTAGCTGATGACAAAGACCATTTGGTTCATAAAAACTATGTACTGCTGAAAATGAATTCATGAATTTGAGATTAAAAGATGAAATAGACGAAGGTAAATTCAATTTTTTTCGTTTGTATTAGCTTATAATAATTTATTTAAAATTATAAACACATTTATTGATATTGAATAAAATAATGATAGAATGTTTCAAATTTTCTAATTCGAGAACTCATTCGAGGACTTTTTTGAGGACTTTTCTGAGAATTTTACGAAGACTAATTCGAAGCCTTTCTTACGGACTTTTTCGAGGACTAATTTGAGGACTTTTTTGAGGATTTTTTTTAGAGCTTATTTTAGAACTTATTTGAGTATTTTACAAGAACTATTTTTGAGGACTTTTTCGAAGATTCTTTTGAGAATTTGACGAGGACTAATTCGAGGACTTTTGTGAAGAAGTTGATGAGGACTTTTTTGAGGACTTTTCTGAGGACTTTTTTGAGGACTTTTATGAGGACTTTTTTGAGTATTTTTTGAGGGCTTTATTTACGATTTTATTGACGACTTTATTGTGGACTTTTTTGAGGACTTATTTCAAGATTTATTTGAGGACTAATTCGAGGACTTTTTAGAGAATTTTTTTGAGGAGTTTTCCGTGGACTTTATTG